GCTCTACCATTTCCTTGGCCTTGGGCTTGCCTTTCAAGTTTCTTGTAACCGGGGACATTTGGAAAATCTAAGATGCTCTTTTCAGACTATAACAGATTGAGGCGAAGATGTTAAATAACAACTAACAAGTCAAGAGCGAAAGTAAAAACATAGCACTAGAAGTAGAAGACGGAGGAAACCAGTAAGGAGCTAAAATATGATCCCCTTTGGGAGCTTGAAAACTAGAGGCGGTTCTGGTGGTGAGATCATAAGTACCTAAGCCAAAGCCAAAGCCAATGAAATAAATGGAGTTGGGGTTGTGGCCAAGGTAAGAGCTTGCTTGGAAACAAAAAAACCTCGCCCTTTGATACAAAGATGCAGAGATCTTCAATGTCATCAGTGTAACACATGAACCTTCCCTCTGTAGTCTCCTCCTCTCTAAACACCATGAACCGTTGCGTTTCATAGTAGATTTTCTTGGAAGCTAAACTTCCCTTGGCGTACCGTTTGACGAGGAAACGTTCATCTCCGGAGGGTGACTCCAGGAGGTGATCCGTCCTGGAAGAAAAAGGAAACATCTCAGACAACTCCGAATGGTACTTAAACGCCTCTTGAAAATTGCAAAACTGTAAATCATGAAACTCTTTGTTGTATTGGAGATCATAGGACAACAAGTGGTGGCCTCCAGGGCTAGGCAAGTGGAATCTCGTCTTTCTTGGAATACATCAGATTTGAGGTTGGAAAGTAATCCAAAGGAGTTGAGATCTTAGTCCAACGCAAGAGATAGAAAGGTTCAAACAGAAACACAGAAATAGAACCAAAAGATTACAGTTTCACTACTTCCTGCAAACTCACAAGCAGCCATCACCAATGGCACTCTACATACATATTTACATAGATACGAAAAGTGCACAACAGATTTTTACTAGACTTGAATCCCTCAATCTATTATAATGGGCAGATCTTTTGTAGACCCATCTTGACCTTCCTCAAGCAAAGGATGGTAGCTCGGTGCAGCAGCAGGGTTTAGCACAAAAGAACCAGCTTTCTCTTCTCCACTCAATTTAACAGATGCAACTTTATGAGAAAATCTCTGCATTTCCTCCGGTGAGATCATCATCTTGATGAGTCCATGCTGCTCAGCATGGTTAAAAACCGATAAAAATCCTTCAACTCTCCCCATATATGCCACTGCAATGCCTAGACGATCGTCAAAATCGGAGATGACTTCCACAAAGTCGTATCTATAAGGAGGCTCGTGTATATCCGAGTGACTTGTATTCCAGTCTCTAAAAAGAGCCCATGTTTCGCCTTTTCTCGGGTTCACAATGATATCTTTGCCACATTTGATGTATTGCATCTCGTGAGCAAACATCAAGTGGCTTTTGATCTCTGTATCTCCATATTCAAACCTCCCACAAGCAACAGGAATAGATCTCTCATCTTTTGTGGTTTTCACATGTTCAAGTAATGTCACCTGCAAACTCAACTGGGCGTTAAAAATTCCTCTGATCTGAGCATAGATCCTTGGCATATCATCTCTAGTGTCGTATACAGCCCATACTTGATCGACAGCAAAAGAGCTCATTGAGTTGCTAAAGTCACTTTTATCAATTCCTTTTATCTCTCCATCATATGCTTCACAAATGTCTTCAGATTTAGGATCGGTGGTTCCATGTAGCGCACAAGCCACTTGTTCTTCTTCATGAGATTTGTGTCTTTTCGCTAGCCGAGTAAGCGAACCAGCATCACTATTGTTCTTTACCAACAAGGGAGGCTCAAATTCAAGGTTGGATCTCTTTCGAGTCACTTCGTCTATAACTTGGTGTGTTGGTTCTTCTTCAAACTCCATCTGCTTCAATTTAACTTCTTTCAACCTTTTTTCCAGTGTCTTCACCATAATTTCAAGATCTTTGCTCTTCATTTCAGTCTCCTCTCTCCATTTATCAGCTTCTTCTTTCAGTTTTAGCTCAAAAGTCTCCTCCTTTCTCTTCAACTCAGCAGACTTGTCACTGATACTTTCTTCAAGTAAGCTGAGCGCAGTCTTCTTTGCTTCAAGCTGCTTACTTTCCTCGTTCCTTCTCTCAATCTCAACACTTTGTTTCAGATCAAAATTCTTCTCTGCCTTGTCTAACTCACACAATTTGTCATCGATTGACTCAAAAAGCAATCCAGCCTCCTCTTTCTTCCCTGCAAACTCACTCACCATATCTTCAAGTGCCTTTGTCATGGAATGGCGAAGCAAACAAAGGTTATTCTCTTGTGTTTCAAGTTGGGTCACTGCTTCTTCACTCCGCTTCTCAATCACCAGTCTCATGAGGGTTGCTTCAATGACCTGTCTCAAATCAGATTCAGTCTCTTTCTCTTGTAATACTCTTTGTTTCTCAGATATCGACTCCTCAAGCAAACCAGTTTCTTTTTCCTTCACTTCAACCACTCTCAGTCTCTCTTCCTTTATCTCCAGCGAGACTCTCATTTTATCAAACTCTTCCTCAATTTTCTCACGCTCAAGCGAGAACCTAAGAATCGATGAAGCCCTTTCCTCAATCTCCTCTACGATTTTTTCTGAATTTCCTTTCATCACCACACGATCTAAACCGTAAACCCTAATTTTTAGTTAACAAGGAGCAAAAACAAGAATCTTGGTCACAAAAGAAGCAACTTTTCAATAGCAAAAAAAGAAAAAAAAAGAAGCAACTTTCCCGTGAAAGGAAAACGAGGATGTACAAAACAAGGAAGATAAGAAAAACCTTTCTGGAGATTTGTCTTCTTCATTTGACGCCGGCGGCTGTTTTTGCTCCGGCTTGTCTCCGCCGGGAAACAGAGAATATTCCGGTTCCACCATTTTTTTTTCTTTTGCTGTACTATCCAAGCTTTGAGCTTTTTTTATGCAGGAGGTTAAAAAAAGGGATTTTTGAAGAAGAAAAAAGAGAGCTTTTCTTTTTTTTCTGCAGACTGAGAAATTATGGAAGAGAAGGAGGTTTCTCAAAATGACTGGAAAATGGAGGGAGAAAGAAAAAGTGGTGATGCATTCTCGTGTCCATTACTCAAAATGTACAACTTTCTTTTCTGACCGTTAGATGAGATTGTTTTTTAGCCGTTGGATTATCTATCTTACGTCATACACGTCAGGTTTCTCTTTGACCCTCGGAGACTCTGGATTTTGTCGATTAGTAGTATTCTCATGAGATTTGTGAAAGGATCAGCTAATGGACTTTTTTAGGATGTTTCGGCCCATTACAGTTCTACTACGAAAATTTAGTCAGTAGACATAATATATAATACACAACCAATTTTATTCAGAAAACGGTCATTTTTGGTGCTTTAATGTCATTTCTCCGGAACTGGACTCTGCTTTTAACTTAAAATTTTATATCTAATTTGACTGAGTCAACATAAGTTTGTGTATTTTATGGCTCATTAAAAAGTTGGTATTTTTTTGGCTAAAAATAGAAAGTTTGGTATTAAAATGATCTTATGAAGTTTTTTTTTCTAATTTCAAAACGCCGATGTTTTGAAACTTAACGGATAAAGTAAATGGTAGTTAACAGTTTTTAACGGCTGTTAAAGTTGACTAATTTTATACATAATTTGGCCGAGTCAACCAAAATTCGGTATTTTTTTGACTCATTAGAAAATTGATACTTATTTTGGCTTAAAACGGATAGTCCGGTATTAAAATAACCGTTTTCCCAATTTTATTCTCTAAAATGACCACCAAATATAGCACAGGAGTTTTAATCTACAAATGTCAAACTGTATAATTATGTTATTGTCACTATGATGACATTGTTCTAAATATTTCTTAAATTATTAGTACAAACATGTTGTAGCTGGATATGACATCAAATCCCCGTTCCATAAAATTTCATTGTAAAAACATGTATCTAAGCCCAAAACGATAGTCTCGGCTCGAGTTTAGGCCACCTTGATCCGAAAAGAAGTTACCAACTGATGCTGAACTCGTCTCGGGAGAAATTGAGAAAGTGAGTTAACACAAGTTACAAACGTGAGTCTGAGATATGAAGGATTGTTGAACGAGGTTGGTGGCTATATAAAACGAGCAGAATCTATTGAAAGGGTATCATCATATTATTCATTCTTAATGTAAGAACAACTCACCGAACTTTCTGTAAACCACATTTTTAGGAAATTATTTTTGTACTGTTCGATTAATCAATCAAATCTATTTTGTCAAAGCATTCTTTGTTCAATATCATTCTTATATTGAATATCTAGCCTTCAAAGTTCAAACTCATTCTGAGTTTCTGACTATACATAAATACTATGGTGTGAATTTTAGCATCCACAAAACACATGATATAATTATTAGAAAATAATGCGGCAAGAAACATATTAGTTGTATTGATCAGTAATTTACAAAATTATAAAACTTTTTCTGTTGGAAAAAGGATCATTTGAGGCGATTAAATTTGCTTTAGACGCGGCAAATATGTTTATATTAAAAGACATACAGTATGTTTTTTATATAAAAAAGGAAAAATATTTAATTTGATAAATTGACATCATTTATTTCGTTTATAAAAATAATTTTTTTAACATATTATTTTTATTATAAATTATGAAAACTATTAAAAATAAAATTTGGATAGTCGATTTTCATTGACGAATTTCGGACAAAGCATGGAAGCGGCTTAACGAGACTGCAAAGACGCTTCTTTTTTTGACTGCTTGACCTTTAGAGTCCATAAGAACACATTCGAAGGAGCATTATCTCTAAATATTTTCTTAACCCAATAATTGCATATTTTATTCCAACGTTTTTTTTTCTTTTTTTTCGTATTCCAACGTTTTTGTACGATTTATATTGTTTTTTCTCTTTATAATGTGTACTTCTTACCGTCGTTATATATTTTGCGATAAATTTGAGACCAAAAATCACCGCTTGATCAGATCGGTTGATCTTGTAACAGAGTAAAGACAAAAAACATTTTCTAGACAGACAACAAAACTTGACTGGTCAAAACACAACTGCTAAAAAAAAAAAATGTAAAGACTAAAGACATAAAACTTTTTCTACATGATTATTTATAGATAGTAAATATGATTAGGATAATATAAAAATTTTATAATATTAGTGGTATTGGGATTGATGAATAGAGAGAGAAATCTAGAACGT